GTCCCCCTCCCCTTTCTCTGCTGAGGCTTTAGTTCTGTTTGAAGTTTTTGGGCCAGTTGCCAACAATTGTGTGTGTGCAAAACGAACTGGCCTAACATGATAGATAACATAAACAATGACAACTGAGCTCTCCCTTCTGTTAAAGCTAAATATATTATAAAAGGAAGAACCTTAGGAAAATTATTCTGAATTGTTTTGCTTAGATTTGTAAATGTTTTCAAAAGGTTTGATGCTCTAGTTTCAGTCTTTATATATACATACACACATATATTTTCAGTACATTAACTCAGAATACCTCATTAAAGTTTTTTTTCTTTTGTGAAGCTGCATTGAAAAAAAATTTTTTTTTATTTCTTTATGAATGTTGATTCTGGAATAGCAAAAGTTGTGTTGAGCAAAAGGAATGAGCTGGGAGAAAGAAATCAGCTGATTTAGAACCTGCCCAGTTCTTGAACTCACTAATCTGATTAGAACATGAATTACAGATAAAGTTTTGGCCTGACTTGTTTATGGATGTTTATAGCAAAGCAGCTGAAAAAGGACATAGTGGATGTTGGATGTTGGAGAAAAGAATATAAGTGGAAGCTGGGGGGGGGGGTTCCCTCCCTGTAGTTAACTGAATTTGTTAGTAAGAAGGAGAACAGAATGTGGGTAGTTTTGAAAATTGGAAAGAAAAATTAATAGTAAAAGAGGAAAAGTTACTCATGTAAAGTTGAAAGAAGAGAAGGGATGCTGAAATGGAAGGGCAAGTACATGAAATGGGCTGAAATGGGACAGACAGGTACATGAAGGAAATGACTGTTGAGAGGGAGCAATTATGTGTTTTATTTTTGGCTGGACAGGTTGTGACATCTAGTGTTGAGGCCATTTCAGTACAGGCCTCAACTCTGGAAAATTTGCCCTGTCCTGTTTGAAATGATGGATGGGAGTTGCACGAAGGTTCAAGAATGTCAATGAAGAAGAGAAGAATGTTACTCAGTATTTGCATAATCTGGTACAGGTTTTGTCTTCTATTCCAGTACAGGCTCAGGCTGCCCTGTCTCTGACCATTATTGCTCCTGGAGAGTGGGTTCAGGTGAAAAGAAATGTCACCTCTAAGTACCAGTCCTGAGTGGTACTTAGTCCTCTTGACCTCAACTGCAGTGAGAGTGAAGGAATCAAGGCATGAGTCCATGGAAAGTCCCATCAGTCCCTCTCCAGTGACAAGCTCCGCAGCTAGATGGCTTGAAAGTGAAATTTCGATCTGCCTCACCTGTTGAACTGTTTCCATCTAACTAGGAGAAAACTAATTAGTTAAAAATGGACTGGACTACTCTGAACTTGGGTTGATAATGTATAGACTGTGTATTGCTACATTTTTTTACTTTGTTGCTGGTGTTTCCCCCACACCTTTTTCAGAACATGGGCCCAATAATTAAAGGAACAAAAGGGAGTTGTGTTTGTAATAAGACTACGTATTCCACTTGCAAAGTGGAGAATAGGATCATTTGTTATGCTTCTGTCAATACAGTAAAGCCCTACCAACAACTTCAGACCTGGACATACAGAAGGATGCACAGACTATACTTCTTGAGAAGAATAACACGAGACTTATGAATAGTGCCAGAGTTTCCTTTGATGCATGTAAACCTATTGACCATAATCAAGCTAAATGGACTAAGTGTGGGGCGATGGGGTGGAAACAGATCTACTCATTTCATGCAAAATACATTTATACATCCTACCCAACCTAACACAATCAAAGGAAGGAAAAATCCAATATGATTAAAGGAGTCAGCACTTCCTAGTGCAACGCTGAGTCCTGCAACCCGGTGTGCTTTGAGACATGACAGCAGTATTCCAATATCTCAGGGGCTGCCATAAAGAAGAGGGAATTAAGTTATTTTCCAAAGCACCTGAAGGCAGGACAAGAAGCAACGGGTGGAAACTAATCAAGGAGAGAAGCAACCTAGAACTAAGGAGAAACTTCCTGACAGTGAGAACAATTAATCAGTGGAACAGTCTGCCTCCAGAAGCAGTAAATGCTCCAAGACTGGAAGTTTTTAAGAAGAGATTGGACAGCCATTTGTCCGAAATGGTGTAGGGTTTCCTGCCTGAGCAGGGGGTTGTACTAGATGACCTCCAAGGTCCCTTCCAACTTTACTACTATTACTATAACCAGACCAGCAGACTTCTCAGCATCATTTAGACCAGCTATTGATTGAACTGGACACAAACTGGACAATTTATACCACCATCTCAAAAATATTTTCAAGTTTTTCATTCTTTTTATGATGAATTGGAAACCACAATTGAAATTCCCTCAGTATCAAAGAATCTTTTTATTGATCTGGCCCAAAAGAATCGCTTCATTTCTAAATGTGACTGTTATGTGTGTGTGGGTATTAGCATGGATGAACAATGGCCTTGGGAAGCACATGAAATAAATTTTATTGCCCTGACTAGTCAAAATCTCACTGGGAAAAGCCACTAATAGATCCAACATGTGGACTCTGATCACTTCCATGGTGGGAAGCCTCTGTTTTAAAAAGAGAAGGTTCTGGTAAAAACCCTGAGGAGACTTAGGTGTGAACATCTATTGTAGGTGAGCACCTCAGTATCCTTTTGGTGGATTACCACCAAACTCGCATGGCAAACATTTCCCAACTGTCTACCTTATGGACCAATCTAACAGATGCCATCCTCAACTGCCCCACACAGACCTACTACTTGGCAAGAAGATGGAATGTATAAGTTATAGGCCTCTTGTTTATATGCTTAATAGAATTGTTAGACTGCAAGCTGTATTAGAAATAATTACAAATCAAGGGCATTTAGAATAGGATAATGCTGCTTTGCTTCCCTATACTACGCTTGCATAGGAACCTCCATTAGCCTGAGGCGAGAAGCATACGTACAGAAAGATAAAGAAAATTAATTGGTTAAAATAATACTACAAAAGAAAGTTTTGTAAAAACAAGGGGGGTATGGCTTTCCTTTTACATGTTGCTGCCTGTATGTGGAGGAAATACATCCAGCTTCTATGGAAACCTGGACAGCTATCATGGACACAAGCTGGTTTGGAGAGATCTTTGGTGATTGGCGAAGCGAAATTTTTTTGGTTATGTTAGCATTTAGAGGTCTTTTGGTTTTGCCATCTCTGATTCTGTTATCCAAAGAACAGTTACTTCTACCATCTCAGGGATCATAGCATCCTCTGTAAGTAGTGATAAACCCCGTAAGCCAGCCAAAGTCCTATTATCACTGCAATAACAAAGGAATATATGTCATTGGTGACCAAGTAACAGAAAGCATTCTGTTACAAAATTAAAGGGGGGGGGATAAAGGGTTCTGGAACAAAGGGAAATTGCTTAGTCTAACTGTTGCTTTCTCAGCTTTTGCACCTGGGAAATCTCATGCAAGGTGGGAAACATGTACATGGGTGCGATATACTGAAGGAGGGAATAAGGGAATGTACAGGAATGATTGATGTCTTCTTTATGATATAATGACTCTGTTGTCTGATTTTAATTGGCTAACAAAGTTTATAAAGCAATGCTACCAACTTTCTAAGGTGTGGCACTTCTGGACGTAACTCTGCCAGCGTTTCAGATTGTTGACCACCCAGCTGCTTTATTTGATCAAATAAAGTGCTGCTTGATCAAGAAGACTCTGCTTGGATTATCTGACTAGATTCACATGATATCTCAAGTTCAGGTAAGGGACTGGGACTTTACTCTTCCAAAACATTAAACTGCAGGAAGCATTAAATATGAATTAATTCCCACCAAAATGAAAAGAACAGCTATACCACTGAAAAATTTTAGTGGTACATTGATACCACAGTTGATATGCTGCGGTAGCAAGGATAAAACTGCAACAGGGTAGATATGCATTTCAGCAGTTGACATGCACTCCCTAAATTGCTCTATTTCTTGAGACTGTATCCCAGGGGTCACAAAAGATAGGGACTTTCCTTTTCCAAAACTGAAGTAAGAGCTCCAATTTTAGATTCATGGTCTTGCCTTTTCACTAGCTTCCTAGGAAATGCTTTCCAAGGCAGAGATAAAGAGATAAATATATTTGTTCTAAAAACATTCAATAACATTCCACAATGCTTCCAAGTTCCTACAACCATCTGGACCAATACATTTAGACGATACATAGTTTAAATTAATTTAATCCACTTGATATAATAAAAATCCCTTCCTTTGGGGAAAAAAATTGGATTTGAATTAATTTTTCCATGTCATTTTATGCTGGTTATTATAAAGCAGTAAGACCAAATAAGAAGAAAAAGAAAAAAATAATAAAAAAATTCATCAGTTGATAGATTATGAAGAAAATTCAAGCAGAAAGAAGGAAATTAAGGTCAGCAATCTACCACTTTCTGATATTTTACACGATAGATCACATAATCTCTTCTATTAATCATTCTGCCTGAGGTTTACCTTATACTACTATAAAATATTCCAAAACAATTTTTATAAATTACATATTCACATTTCTAAACTATTTTTGAAATATAATTATTTTGTCTTCTGTAATTAAAGCAATCCAAGACATGCAGATTTGGTGGAGAGGATATTTATAATGGATGAGAATTGCTTCTTTTTTGTTTTTCAAAGAAGATGAAAAACCTCTTATTAATTTTTGACAGTGCTTCTATTGTCTTTTTTATATTAAACAACTACCTAATCAGGGTAAGTAATATCCATAGTAAAATAGTAAAATACTAAATATTTTATATTCTTTCACACTATGATTATTTTCCAAAGTACCACAAAAGGAATTTTCCATAATAAATATTACTGTTAATTACTCAAACTGGTTAATTTGGAAGAAAAAGCTAAATCTGATGCAAGAACAGGCCTCATTCTGGTAAACATGTTTTCCCATTCCCCCACCCAAAATCCAATCCCTAAAATCCTTGCTTATTAATGTTAGTTTTATTTCCAAAGAAGAACTGAATCCAAGTGCAAATACTCAAATGCAGCTAGTAAATCTCTACTATTACTTACCATTAGATGTTGTGCTGGAGGCTGCAGCTTTCTCACTGACCTCTGTTCGAGTGGGGTATTTTACTATGGGATTCTCAATCTTTTTCTTTTCACTTTTGACAGAGCTATGGGATTGAGCTTCCATGATGACTTCTCATTACTTCAGTTCTCTTCACGCAAATATCTGCATTAACAAACACATCTGTAAGACTTCCTTCAAAAAGCAGAAAAAGGCCAGATAAAAACCCCGCCATATTTCTCTTTCAAAAGACATGTTGCTTATTAGCCCTTAAAAGACACAGACCAACTCATAAATTCCATCAAATCAACTCTAATTTATTACCTTTATACCCTTATCCGGAACTTTTACAAGAGGTAGAAGTTAGGCTGAAAAGGGATGAAATCAGCATAGAGAGCTTAATTTATATCACTTGTATTATCCACTTCAAGATTCTGAGCTTGTCATATGGAAAGCTGACAGACCAGGTGCAAAACCCAAGAGCTGCACAATGGGGTGATCTCTGTTATTTGCCCCTGCTCCTGCCCATCTAACAATTCAAAAGCATGCAAATGGGAGTATATAAATAGGTACCACTTCAGTGGAAAAATAACAGTGTTCTATACACCTCAGTGTATAGTCATGCTGGCCAAATGACCGCAGAAATGTCTTTGGACAAAGCTAGCTCCCTTGAACAGAAATGAAGTGCTTTTCCTAAAGTGGGACATGCCTGGACAAGGGAAACCTTAACCTTTACCATTTTTTCATTTTTTTACATTTATGACTTAACATTTATATTTTTTATAAATAATATATAACAAATATTGTAAATCTTTAACATATTTGCATAAGAATATTTTGAAAAATTATCTTTCTTGCTCTGTTCCAAGATTCCAAACCTAGTAGCTGAGGACCAATATTTTAATTATATAAGATTAGGCAGAAGTTGAAATATAAGTATCAAGGCTCCATTTTCCATGTTTCCCCCAGCTGCTAAAACTGCATGACTTCCCAATGCCACCCTTTAGTTTAAGGATGTTTTCACTTAATTATATCTGTATAGGATTATCTCTTTCACATGGGAACAATTTACTACTTCTCCTGCTGGAAGACGACTATACTCAAAATTCTTGGGAATGTTTATGTCCTTGGTATCATTCGTACTCTACATATTCTGAAAACCTTTTAGTTGAATGTGCCTCTTCTGGTGACTATACCATTTTAAGTAAGTCTATCAACCGACTAAACTCTTCTTTTCCCGCCTCTCTTTCATTCTTTTTCCATTCTAGCTTATCTTTTCTTTCTGTCTCCTTCTGCTCTCCTTCCTCCTAATTAATCAAAATCTTTCATCTTGCTGATACTTTAACACAAGGCTTTTCAACCAGTGGTACGGTATCACCTGTGGTATATTGGCACCTGGCAGGTGGTATGCGACCATCCTAGAAAAGTGCTAGCAGGGAAGGGGAATGAGCTGAACTGGTGGCAGCACCACACAAGCCTGAGCAAGAGACGGCTGGAGCTGCAGAGCTGTCAGGGCTCAGTGGAAGCGCCAGGATCAGTGCTTCTTCGGGGCTGTCAGGGCTCAGTGGAAGTGCCAGGATCAGTGCCAGACTCTAGCTGGACCTCAGCACTGATGCTGGTGCTTCTGCTGAGCCCAGAAGAAGTGCCGATTAGCTGGAACGTTGCAGCATCTCCAGGGTCTTGTGATTTACATTCAGATGCTTGGCAACTGATTCATATTTATGACAGTCACAGTGTCCCAGGGTCATGTGAAGTGACCAAAACCTGCTGCAACCACCCAGCAGATGGGAGGAATAAAAACCAAAAACTCCCCCACCCCAGCCCTGCTGCCAATCCTCAACAGAAATGCTCAAAACAACGAAAACCTCAGACAGGAGGAAAAGCGCCGCCAGGCGGGCAGGCAGGTGTCTTGCTCAGCTGTGACTTGGGGGGCACTTTTTTCAGTGCCATTGTAACTTGAACAGTCACTAAGTAAACTGTTGTAAGTTAAGGACTACCTGTACTTTATCATTTTTTTCCTTTTTCTTTTTTGGTCATCAAGTTTTGGACACCTTGCTAGGTGGTACTCGGGTGTTGCAATATTCTAAAAGTGGTACAATGGGTGAAAAGGCTGAAAAGCCCTGCTTTAACATCTCTGTAATCATATTGGCTCAAGTAACTGGGCCTATCCCCATTTCTATTTTGGTTTAACCACAGACCTAAGGTGGATACTTGTCTCTACCAAAGTGGTTGTTCTTCTAAGGGAAAATCTGTCTTTTCTAACTTTTCCCTGTCTATTAATTTGGTGTAGGCTCTAATAAGTCTGGTTTCTGTAGCCAATTCCTGTAAAAACTGAGCCCTGTGAGAACCAAACCTCCTTTATTTTGCAACATCTTTTGAAGCCAAAGCTTGTTTTCTTTTCATGGAGTGTTTAATGAACTCCCTGAGTTTAAGCCCCCCTCACTTGTGTGGTTGCCATCTTTGTTGGATATCTCACCTTTATGGAACCTCACCTTTTGGATATTGTACCACTGCCATCACTTTGTCACAATTTATTTAAAATATACTGAAGTCAGTGAGTTCCAAAACACAACAGAGCCAACACAACAATACATGTCATACAAGCATTCCCATGCTAGTACTCAATGCTCATCACTGTTCCACTGATCCAGACTAGTACTCACTGCTACCATACCTATTCACTCTAGAAGAATTCAAATCATCAGGTCTAGATGGATTACATCTGAGGGTTCTCAAGGAACTAGTAATCATGATCTTAGAATAATTGAACTATCCCTTTCAAAGATCCTGGAGCAGCAGAGAACTACCAGAAGACTGGAAAAGAGACAAGATGGCTTCCATCTTTAAAAAAGGAAAAACACAGATCTAGGAAACTGCAGACCTATCAGCATGAAATCAATACCTAAGAAGATCTTGGAAAAGATCATCAAGCAATGAACTATCAAAAATAAATCGTGCCAAACAGATCTTCTTGCACTCTTTGACAAAAGTGACTAATTAGTGAACCAGTGAAATGTTGTAGATATAATTCACTTGGGCTTCAATAAGACATTTGATAAAGTAGATCAAACCTACTACTTGATAACGTAGAAAAAATAAGAGTTAAAGAGCATCACCACCTTATTAATTTACCAGATTAATAAGGTGACCAACTGTCCTCCTTTAGGGAGGACAGTCCTCCTATTGTAAGTTCTGTCCTCCCTTGAAAAGTGTCCTCCTAAATGTCCTCCTTTTCGATATTTGAAGACTAATATGCAGGGCTTTTTTTTTTCTCATAGAACACTCAGAACACTGTTCCGGCACCTTTTTTTGATGGGTTTTTTTCAACTTTTGTATGAGCTATGCTACTCCCCCTATTGGCTTTCAAAAGCCAATAGGAATTGCTGCTGAATGTGCCAAAACACCCAGCCGGCAGACTTTGCACATGCAAGTTGTCTGCAGCAAAGGTGAATTGGCAGGAACTTTGCACCCTCCCTGCTACCCAACTACACCATCTCCTAGTTAGTCCCGAAGATACCTGGAGGAAACTAACTTCCATTTGTTGTTGTTGTTGTTGTTGTTGTTAATTGCGAAGTCATGTCCGACCCATCGCGACCCCATGGACAACGTTCCTCCACGTCTTCCTGTCCTCTACCTCTGGAGTCCATTTAAGTTCATACCAACTGCTTCAGTGACTCCATCCAGCCATCTCATTCTCTGTCGTCCCCTTCTTCTATTGCCCTCAATCTTTCCCAGCATTAGGCCCTTCTCCAGTGAGTCCTTCCTTCTCATTAGGTGGCCAAAGTATTTGAGTTTCAACTTCAGGATCTGGCCTTCTAAAGAGCAGTCGGGGTTGATCTCTTCTAGGACTGACCGGTTTGAACGCCTTGCAGTCCAAGGGACTCGCAGGAGTCTTCTCCAGCACCATAGTTCAAAGACCTCAATTCTTTGGCGCTCAGCCTTTCTTATGGTCCAACTTTCACAGCCATACATTGCAACTGGGAAAACCATGGCCTGGACTATACGCACTTTTGTTGGCAGGTGATGTCTCTGCTTTTAGTATGCTGTCTAGATTTGCCATAGCTTTCCTCCCCAGGAGCAAGCGTCTTTTAATTTCTTGGCTGCAGTCCCCATCTGAGGTGATCTTGGAGCCCAGAAAAATAAAATCTGTCACTACCTCCATTTCTTCCCCATCTATTTGCCAGGAATTGAGAGGGCCGGATGCCATGATTTTGGTTTTCTTAATGTTGAGTTTCAAGCCAACTTTTGCACTCTCCTTCTTCACCCGCATCAAGAGGCTCTTTAGTTCCTCTTCACTTTCTGCCATTAGAGTGGTATCATCTGCATATCTTAGGTTGTTGATATTTCTCCCGGCAATCTTAATTCCAACTTTTGATTCATCTAGCCCTGCCTTTCTCATGATGTGCTCTGCATATAAGTTAAATAGGCAGGGCGACAGTATACAGCCTTGCCGGACTCCTTTTCCAATTTTGAACCAATCAGTGGTTCCGTGTCCAGTTCTCACTGTTGCTTCTTGACCCGCATATAGGTTTCTCAAGAGACAAATGAGATGGTCTGGTACTCCCATCTCTTTAAGAACTTGCCACAATTTGTTGTGATCCACACAATCAAAGGCTTTTGCATAGTCAATGAAGCAGAAGTAGATGTTTTTCTGGAACTCCCTAGCTTTCTCCATGATCCAGCGTATGTTGGCAATTTGATCTCTAGTTCCTCTGCCTCTTCGAAATCCTGCCTGTACTTCTGGTAGTTCTCGATCCACATATTGCTGGAGTCTAGCTTGTAAGATTTTAAGCATAACTTTACTAGAATGTGAAATGAGTGCAATGGTGCAATAGTTTGAACATTCTTTGGCATTGCCTTTCTTTGGAATTGGAATGTAAACTGACCTTTTCCAATCCTGTGGCCACTGTTGAGTTTTCCAAATTTGCTGGCAAATTGAGTGTAGCACTTTTACTGCATTGTCTTTTAAGATTTTAAATAGCTCAGTTGGAATACTGTCACCTCCACTAGTTTTGTTGTTGCTCAGATTTTCTAAAGCCCATTTCACTTCACATTCTAGGATGTCTGGTTCGAGGTCAGTGACCACTCCATCATGGTTATCTGGGACGTTAAGCTCATTCTTGTATAGTTCTTCTGTGTAGTTTTGCCATTTCTTCTTAATCTCT